ATATATATAAAAGCATTCTGTGTCTATGTGTCCTCATTTACGGACAGTGAATCGGGGACCAGATGGGAGTGGTTCTGACTCCGCCCACATAGGGGTCAGAGGGGAATTTGTTGGGCCTTTTAACATCTGGGCATTTTAGATGTCCTGGACATTAAAACATTCTCCTAAAATCTAAACACTGCTATCAGTGTTTAGATTTCACATCTGCTGGTGAGCTTTTGTGCACAGAGCATCCCATGAGTAATCCTATTGGCCTTTTTGCAGCTAGATAATGTTGAAATTTTATACTAATAAAAGTGTAAATAAATGATGAATTCTTCACTGTACTTTCATAAGGAGAATGTTGTCAACCTTTGCATTTAATTTTTGTAACTTATTGCCCAACATTTTCATTCTGTAGCATTTTTTCAATTCAAAAATCTGTGCTAAATTTGCAAGAAAACGGCTTGGTATAACATAAAGTTACGGTAAATGAATATTAGGAAACATAGCAATACCTAAAATACAATTGTGCAAATTTATATCTAAAATTTCTAAAACATTAAATACAGTAAAATAATTCCTTTATACAAACATCTCAGAGTTTATACAGAGTAAACAAGTCATGCTATGTAGATGCTTGCATGTTAGCATCTATCCTCAGCTTTACAGGATCAACATTCCCACATGTTCAGCACAGTTTCTTTTACCTCTTGTAAATTAGCTTATTATGTTTTAATGCATTAATTGCAACTACTTCAAGAACAAAAAAAGGACAGGTTTCAGTTACACCACTATTGATTAGTCAATATTATATTAACTTTCCTGACATTTACTGTTTGCTCCAATAAGTTAATTTAGATCACAAAACCCAATAAGAAACATTTACACAACTGTTGTGCAAAGTTTACTAAATATTTGGGTTTATCTGCAGAACACAAGCAGCAAAGCTACTGCTGTAAAGTAACAGTTCAATACAGAGGAGGTTAGTCGTTGTTGATGGTAGAGATCGCAGCTATCTGAAGTTCAGAGTAGGTGACACCATCTGCATGGCCACAGGGGGCGCTGTTTGAGGAGCCGGTATCACCCAGCAAATGCACTTCAGAGTAATCTACCTCATCAACCTCCACCTGGAAAAAAGATGGGGAAGAACTTTTAGTTTATACAGTTAAATATTTTAATTATTATCTCAAAAGTGATGTATTAAGCTATGTAAAAGGTTCATAAAGTAATGTGCAGAAGAGATTTCAACAAAGGCTAGGTAATTATAATTTGAAAAGATATGAATATTTGTAAAACCAACATTCAGAACTAGAGTAGCGATGTGTTTCTGTGTATGGAGTCATTTATGCAATAGCCTGGATAACGATATTTATCGTTATCCACTGTGGGCGCAGTTTGTGAATCTCTATTTAAAACACTTGGTTTGGGGTTATTGGGGCCATTGTGGCCACAGGGGAGGCACTGGTATGATGAAAAGAGAATCTGTTCATGTGAACATAATTTATTTTGACTGTCAGCAAATCCGGCCTAAGAACAGTGAGCAATAGCTTTGACAAAAAACAGACAAGTACAAAAGCACTCAGAGGCAAGACCTCCAGCAAGCAGTGAATTTTGCCCCATATACATATTTACACCTATAGCTAAAACTTTCCATGATCTTGATTATTAAAATGTTTTTTATTAATTGTTTCTAAGCATGAGGCGAAACTTTGGTAACAATGTCCTTGAAATCCTTTGTCTGTCACATGTTCTCAGGGTGAACCTGCTCTCATCCGTGAAAAGCACAGGGAACCAGTGGCAGACTTGCCAATTCCGGTGTTCTGTGTCAAATGCCAATCAAGCTCCATGGTGCCGGGCTGTCGGCACAGGACCCACTAGAGGACATGGGGCCCTCAGGCCACCGTCGTGAAGTCTGTTTTTGATTATTTGGTCAGA